CTCAGCACATTAATAAGGAAATATATTATGCCTGAAGTACTCCAAAACCTGTTTTGATAGTAAAATGACAGCAGGATGAAGGACTGTGATTGCAGTGATAGCAAATTACACTTCAGGCTCCAGCTAAGGGTCAGAAAATGCGCAAAAAAAGTGTTTGCTTATGTACAGACTCACAAAAGACTTCTACTGCTGAGTGAAATAGTCAAACACAGTTCTGCAAGACTGAACAGTACTAAAGGTTTTACATTTAGGTTTGACACTTGAATGTTCTCCAGTATTGATTCCCTGTGCCCTTACACAGTCACTGTAACACTGCAGACACCAGCACAGACAAATCGTGGTTACAGAGGCACAGATCAAAGAGGCCCCTTCAGCCTCCTCCCTTTTCAATTTAAAAAGTTAACAACCTTAGAGACATGGACTGGAAAGACTCAAGAGTTCTGCTGATACACCATGTTTGGAAGAAAGGGATGTTCTTTCCTATAAAATATCAAAGACCATTTTTTTACACGAGAGTAGAAGAGTGAATAAGATGTTTATAAATACAAATTTAAAGCTGGGTTGCTACACCCCTACTTAGCCAGCTAGTTGACCTGATTTACAAATATTCCAAGCATCCTCCACGTTTCTGTCGTCAAACACCACCTGGGTTTCAAGGGTGTCCAGCATAGTTGAAAATGAGGTCACTGATTTTAGAGCCTAAATAGAATTCCAACAACCCAGCATTAGGATCCTGTTTTGACAATGTCAGCATCTTGATCATATTCGTTGGTTCCATTAACTTACTAGCTCTGCTGGGCATAACTGTCCTCAAGAACAGATGAACTAGGTAAGACCAGAAGTCCACCTAAAGCACAGTCTATACTAAGTGTTCAAGGAAAAACCAAGAGCATGGGATTCTTTTCTCATCACATTCTTCTAGACCCCAGCAGCATGTGATGTGACCAGTCCAGTCATTTATACACAGTACTTGGCTAAGAATTCTTCCTTGTGCTAGAACTTACTACAAAACTAGTACAGCTGAAATACATTAATTCAAACAGAAAAAAAAAACAGTAATCTTATGTTATTTAAACAATGTGTGTCGAACAAAAGACTTTGAAGACCATTGTCTCAAAAAGAGTCCTTCTGCTGAACGCAAACAAAGGCTTACAATCCCCAGGGGAGTACAATAAGCATCAGCATATTTGCTCTGAAGAAGTAGAAAGCTTCTAAGCAGTTTCTAACACCAGAGAAACACAAGAGATTGGTGTGACTGTGAAAGGACTTATGCAATTAAACACTGTTTGCGAAGTCAAGGTCTCAAGCACAGGCTGAGGCGGCACCAGAAGTTAGAGCTTCTGTATTTGAAAGAATGTTTTTCCTCAGGAAATTAAAAAGGACAAGGAATTCAGAGCCTCTTCAGGCTCTGACAAAAGGAAAGAAAACTGAGTTGTAGGTCGGAGGGAAGAGACTTGGAAACAGTAGGTTTTCAAATGTGATCAATAAAACTAGGCTGAGAATGAACTGATTTGAAGAGGACAAATAGCCAATACACAGACCCTATTTTCAATCTGAAATTAGTAATTCAGCTTTGCTCACAGGAACTGCTAGTTCACATGAGAGCATTTGTAACAATGAAATACCTCTAACGTTTCCATGCCAGTGGTGTTCACAGTTCCTGAGGGAGTACCATCAACAGCATGAAAACATAGTGCTACTTTCAGTCTACTGATTTTAACCTCTTACCTCTCCAAGCACATGAATGATGTGCACCTTTCAGTGTAGTGTGTTGTCAGGGACATCTTCCCTGAAAAATCTAATCAGGAGCTCTTGGGCCTTGCAGTCTGACACAGCTCCCTACTCTTTTTCCTCAGATTCACTCCCTTCTGCTAGTGAAAAATCAGATAGTTAAGTAATTCTAGGTGTTCATGAGATTCTCAGCATTCTATAGAAAGCACTGAATCTCTGGCTTTTAAACTGTTTAAATATGGTCTGCAATGCTTTATTAGTTTAATTTATGTACAGTTCAATGTAATATCACCAACACAGACATGTGGACCACATCCTCCTTTAACTAGCATGAATTTAGGAGAAGGTACATGGAACCACCTGAACTGAAACCGATCCAAGAGAGAGAGCAGAACTAACTCCTCCAGCTTCGAAGATCAGCAGGAAGCAAGACGGGACAACTGCAATTATTATACACAGGCAAGATCCCATTTCCATACAGAAGTCCACAGCCAATTAAAAAGGCAGGGAAATGTGTACAGAAAACACAAGTGAAATGAACATGCTTTCACAGACAGTTTTCCCCATAAAGCATCTGTCAGACTCCAAGAGAAATGCAGCTGACCCACAGTAGCTACCACTAAAATAGACAGCTTAAAGTGCTTAATTAGGTCACTCTGTGCAAGAACCATCATAAATTTCACACCAATCCAAAATGTTGGGGAACATCTCTCCCAAATAAAGGGAAGTGTTTTGGGATATGAAAACAACAGTAAGTATCATCTAATGAGGAACAGACAAAGAAAAATGCCAAGGGCTGTCAAGCCCTGATACTTCAGATAATGGCTAAAATTTATGGCTTCCTTCACTGGTAGGCAGAAGTACAATTAGAATTCTCATAACAGTACCTCCTATGTGCTGGCATACTGTGTTATGTTTATACTGCTACAGATAGATTAGATGATAAAAAAATAAATTCTATTTAAAAGCACCCTTTTTAACCCAAGGTAATAAGTAACTTTTTTTTCTTTATGTGGGTTTGGACACGGTTTTGCACATAGCTTATTGTTAACTGAAGTAATTTAGGTAATTTTCATTGTATGCACAGGAATTAAGCATTTAAGTAGCTTGCTGTATACACAGAAGGCTCTGTTGGAAAAATCACACAAAACAAGAACAAACGAGCTATTATGAGTCACTTAATGATCTCCTGCCCAAATACAGCTTGATAATTAAACAGGTCAAATTATTTCTTAAATTATTTAAATTTTGAAAAATTTGAATGTGTTTGGCTTGAGGAACTGTTGAATGAAAAGCATCAGGAAGTATGCACACCCATTCTTTCATCCTTTACTTGTAGTCAGTGATATGAATCACTTGGAACTGACACTGGTTAGAAGAAGCACAGGGGAATGAAAGGGAATGGGTTTTTCTCATCTTCTTCATAAAGAAAGCACAATTAAAGTATTTTGAACATGCAGTCTGGACTCAGATAATCACAGATGGCTTTGCAACAGAAACCTGCAGGCATCTTTTCCCTATAAATTGTGGGAAAGATACATGCAGGGAAAGCACTGACTATTTCCCAAAGAGCAGCAGCATATCAACAACTGAATCTTGAAGATTTCTCCTACTGTGTGCTGTGATTTTGGCCAGACATCGCTCTCCGTTTCCTCATTCATTTTGCACTATTTGTGTCTCACCCTTCCTGGTTCCACAGATCACTACTCCTATCACAAGCGAAGTAAAATGGTCTGTTTCTTAATTACAGCAATGATCCCAAAGGACTGGTGTCAACCCTTTAGCACCACGCTTTTGAAGTCAGAGAAAACTGCTAAGCAGCTTTGCAAAGTTTATATGGCTTCGAGAACATCACACTTCAAATTAAACCACCGTGCAAAGCACCAGAGAATATAATCTGTGGTAGGTGCCCAAAGCAACTTAACACTTTCAGTGAAGAAGTATCACTGAAAACTCAAAACTTGCAACTAACCCTAACCCTAATCAGTAAAACCAGTAACGAATAAAAAGTATCTACAAAGCAACAAGGCTTGTATGACAGAGGAGGGTGACTGACTGTTTTAAATTTTCTAGATCTTCATTAAAAAAAAAGAAAAAAAGGCAAGTAAACTTATACTAAAAACTATACAATATTCTTCTGTGCCAGCACAATTTTCTACTTTTTACCCAAAAGCTGTGGGTGCCTCATCCCTGCATGAGTTCAAGACCAGGCTGGATGGGGCCCTGAGCAACCCAGTCTAAGTGTGTATGCCCATGGGGTGGAGGGGGTGGAACCAGAGGATCTTTGTCTCTTCCAGCCCAAACCATTCTGTGGTTCTGTAATTCTGGTTTACCTACACATCTGAAGTCACAATGAATGCATTTTATTACAGTTGCTTCAGATATCCAACCTATTTGACAAGTGCCTCAGGAGCTCCAAAATACAAACTATACAAACTGGGAATACAGCTTTCCTTTCAGTCATTATTTTTCTAACAGAGCTTTACCTTTAATCTTCCTTTGGATGTTTTGTACATCTGACTAAATGAATCCACTCTACTGTTGGCACTAGGCAAACAGTGAATAAAATCAGTGTTTTGTTCTCTGCTATTAACAAACAGTTTCTCATTACCAACTTAAATACTTTTTTTTTGTTATGAAAAATAAAAAGTGAATGGGGAATTTCAATTGCTACACATTGTCTTACAACTAATAGAGCTAAAATTCCATTGTCCTTGCATGACTGGAAATTATACTGCAAAACCAAAAATGTTTAAACTTTTATTCTTCACAATTCCATGAAAACTTGATAATATAATCCTTACAATTTGCCTTACGTAGCTTCTGAAGATCAATGTTTGAGCAAAAACTCATAAATCACAAAAGGCTTATGAAGAAACTCTAGATCTAGATTTTAACATGCCCTTGTTCTATCAAAACACAACAGTAAAATCAGTGCCAAAAGAAAACAAGACAAAATGAGTGCGGCATCAAGTCCTGAAATCCACAAAACCAATGAATGAAACAACTTCAGTTGGCAAATGAGAAAACTCAGACCCACGTGTCTAATAAGCTTACATTTTCCTTCCCTAAGTCCTGTTAAAACTAAAATAAAGATCACAAAGGATGCAAACAAACCTACTCACATGAAGTCAGACCAAAGTTTTAAAGTTTGACTTAAGAAAAACAGCACAGCAACTTTATACTGACAGCAGTTTGACTCGGCTAAATAGCTGATAAAGAGAAGCCCAACAGAACACAGGAGATGAGGCAACAGGACGTTTCTTTACCTAGCCATTCCCAGGCTGGAGAAGTTGGAAGGGACTACCAGGACATCGAGCCTGGAGAAGGGGTGGGTCCCCAGGGTGGTGTAAGCAGCCGAGAGGCACTGGGGGATCAGCGGCAGCAAACGCTCCTCGCAGCGCTCCACGAGGCTCCGTGGGGAGAACACCCTGTGAGGAATCACCGCCTGCCAGCCCGCAGCAGGGTGGTGGAAACGGCAGGGATACTCCACGTGGCCACACGTTCCTTCGTGCCACCTGACAACAGCAACACAAAACAACAGTTTAACGGGGTATCAGAAATGTGCATGGCTGAGTGTGCCGAGGCAGGGATATTCTTCGGACACCAGAATGACAGAATTAATTTCTATAAAACCAGCTTGTATTCTCACACTGCTCACACTTGTGCAGCACTGTGAAAGCACTCATTATTACACGTGTGAGTAGAACTGACAAGCATTACTCATAACTAAAAAGACAGTAGTCACATCTTGTTTTTATAACAGATGCGCATCAAAAGAATAAATGCTCAAAATATATGGAAAAAGAACTAATAGCAATAAAAATATTTATTCAGAAGATTCCTATTCAAATCTGACTATGAAAATAAAATTCCATACATATTAACATACACTAACACAAACATATGAGGTGCAATTACAATGAAATTCCATAAGGGATTTTTTTCTGTTGCTGTTACTAAATTCTCTCACTTTTAATGATTATTTTTTCTTTGTAAGTAAAGAACAACAGTAGATATCAACTCAGGCTTATCACTATAGACATTCAACAATGCCACATCAGACTCAACCTGACTTTATATTACTTTTGCAGGATATTCAGAGCTGCAGCTGGAAGAAAGGAGGGGTAAATCAAATCCTTCCTAAACACTGAGTCATATACCCTCACAATAAGCTATCTGCCCAAATAGACTCATATCTAAACAGAAATCAACTTCATGTTTTCACCTGTTAGCCTGTCTTCTGCACAGTGGAGAACTTCTCTTTGGTTTGAAATTTCAATTTAAAGGATCTGGTTGTACTGTGCCTGGACAGGCAAAGCACCTAGCATTGCCCAAAGCATTTATACTTGGAAGATCATGCTGCAGCTCAGTGCTGACACAAAAACCAAAATTATACCACCTAGAAAAGGACAAGATTTTGTTGAAGTGTCAAGATTTTGTTGAAGTGTCAACACTTTAGCACCTTACATAAGCCTTTCTTGTCAAAGACGTGGACTCTAAGTTCTTTCAGAAAGAAACCATCAGTACACTTTTTTTTTTTCCTGAGCATGGTCTAATCCAGCACATTTCTGCTCTAAAACAATTTCACTCTGTATTTTATTATCAGGGTTGAGATTAATGTAAAAATTGCCAAGTACTTAATGACCACGAGGAGATAAGAAAGATAGAAACACCATAGTTCCACTTAGCATTCACTTTGATATAGCCTCTTTAAGCAAAGCTCATTGGCACCTGGATACAAATTACATTACACATTTCAACCACTTCTTTCGGAACTCCTTCCTTTTCCTGATGCCCAGAGTTTATCTATCTTCATTATCTTATCTGAGGCACAGGCTTAACATTTGCTTCTCTATCCATTTCACAGCCTTTCTAGAAATGTCTGCTACTGTGCATAATGTTAGTTTGGTAACCTGGTCTCAGAGACTAAAATAAGCAAGAGGGTCTAAAGGAGCTCCATGTGAGGAGGGGAGGGGAACTGTGAGCAGGAAATATTCTGGCAGGGGGCATCAGATGTCCAGAATGGACTGAGTTGGGTTACATGAAAGATCTTAGAGCCAGACGTTGTGAGAAACAAGACGGGAACTGGCATTGCTGCAGCACGGCATTAAGCAACACAGGATGCGGGATACAAATCCTGAGGACAGCGGGATTTATGAACCCTGTTGCTCACTAAGCAGCTTGTTTTCACATAAAAAGAACCACACCCATACCCCTGAAATAATGCCTTTGGAATTACCTTCCTGTCAAGGTTTTTCTGTTCAGATTAAACAAGTTCTATTTTGATTCACGTACTAATATGAGTCATTTTCATATTCCAGAGAGTAAATAGAAATTCTACCCTTGTATCTCATTTTTCAACAATATTATACACACCAACCTGGAATCAGCTTGTAAAGATGGCAATGAAAACTCAGTGTTTGTTTGAGTAGCAGCTGTGAGGGACTGCTGTTTAACTTCCTGCCAGCACCCCACAGCAAGAGTGAAGGTGGATGCTGGCATGGGCATGGACACATAGTAGTACCAGCTCAAGACATCTGTAAGTAAAAAGAACATTTGTACAGACTCATCAGTTTCACAGCACGCATTAGGTACTTGACATCTTCACATACTTGAGATTTTGGGCCAAACCTCCCACCTTTAATCTTGGTGTTTCTGAGGAAAGAAAAATAATTGCCCCGAGACACAGAAGAACAGTCACAGGTAACCACCACGAATTCAGTACTGTTTACTTGCACCTCCAGCTTTGCTCTATCTGCTGATGTCTGTATCTGCAAGTGAATCATCCATAAGTGGGATGTTATTAATGCCACTTAACGTGATTGTATTGTTACTGCCCAAGAATTACATCAGACGTGAAACCTAATAACACATTTAAATACAAACATACACAAAATATTACAATTTAATTCTTTCAGCCTTGGATCTACCATCTTATGGTTTTGTTGTGTCCTGGACAGTACCAAACTGATAGCCAAATTATAACAAACAACACCAATGCTTGTGAACTGGACCTGGCAACCTGAGATATGTGATGTGTCAACCAGGCAGTAAGAAATCAAAGCTTGGACTCAGATGGGATATAACATAAGTCAGCAATGTGGTCATGAAAGGTAGAATGTGCTAAAACAAGATAAGAGTCTTGTAAAAAGATGCTCTTGTCATTATGGGAACACAGGGTGGGAGGACAAGGAGTATGGTGTAGGATGATTGTACGTACAAACAGATTTTGATAAACCAGAGGACATTTTAGGACAGCATACTTTCCATTAATATAATTGCTTAGACTTTCAGTTTGCCCCTTTAAAAAGGATATAGCTTGAAAGTCACATCCACACATTCATTTATAATACAGCTACTACACCATACTAATAGACTAATCCTCTTGGAAAGAGCCTAGCATGAGTTACAACCTGATGAATCATGTGCAAATAACTGTAGCTGGGGCAACTGTGGAAACATACAAACTTCATTTGTTTTAAGAGAACATTGATACTTGTCCTTTTGCAATACTATTCTGACTAGGGCTATGGAACACTATCAAAAATTTAAAAAGGAAAAATCCACAACGGAGTGGAGATCACCAAGGCATAAAGGAAAGGAAATAAACAACTGCTGCAAAGCATCTCTTGATTTCCTACCTTAATGACCACAGAGGGTCAAGCTGCCCAAAGGAAGGACAAGCAAAAAATTCTTTTTGTTCAGCCTCAATAAATTTTGCACCTGCTATTTAGTATGAAGAAACAATGCTGTTTGTGAAGTCTTCTGAGAGGCAGATAAAGCCTTTTGTAGAGGCAGGTAAAGCCTTTGTCTCTTTATATGCACTTATACTCCCTCCCCCATTCTACTTTTGGCAATGTGCAACATCAAAAACCTTTTGTATTGTCAGGTGAATGTATATTACTCCTCTAATTTTCCTAACCTCCTGTCAGTGCGTAAGCAGAATGAATTTATTTGCTCCAAACACATTAAGAACAAGGAGGATAATTGTTTGCCAAATTTCGCTCCACCTTTTTTTTTTATTAACTTAACAAAGCTACAAATGAGCCAAGACAAGCAAGTGCCACCTTGAGAGAAAAAGGGAGAAAAAGGTCACCCAGGACTGCAACAATATATTATTTCCAAATCCCAAACCCCTGATGTACAGAGTTTCATTGATAGAAAGCGTGCTGGAGGCCCAGGCCTGCACACACTGTGGTCAGTGGCAGCTTTACCACTGACTTACACGTGCACAAGGCAATGCTCAGAGGGACTGCACTTCATGTTGCATCTGTCACATACAGAGCATTAAAAAATGCTCCATGCAGTTGTGCTAACTGTAAAACCTTAAGAATTAAATAACAGCAGGGGAAGAGTGAAAATCTGAGGAATTGCAATGGAAAAGCCGCCGCGTGTTTTCAACTGTGTTATGGAAAAAGCACGGAAGTCAAAAAGCAATCACAGAAAACTGTTCCAAATGGCACGAGGTGTAAAGGAGAAGGCTCTCACAAATAGCAGGAGATTGTCTGAAAGCAAAGGGTGTTGGCCTGTGCTAGGCAAACAGATATTAGAAAGGGTTACAGTGAGAAACAAATTTAGTAAGACATGCTAGAGCAAGCAAGACCATAGAGGCTTTTTTAAAAAAAAAAAAAAAAACAAACACAAGCAGTTGAACAGGATGTCAAAATGAATGGCAATCAGTTTAGCAGTCCAGAGAGAACAGTATGTACAGCATTCAGAAATTTACACACATTAGCAACGAACACAGGCTGTTTAGAGCAAACCATGCCAAAGAGCAAAGGTACCAAAACCCCTTCTATTTTGCAAGCATTACAGAAATCATGTGAACTATGGATCCTCCCAGAATAAGATCCAAGATTTCCACTGTCTCTACATACCTAACCAGAGCTCAGTCCATTTCCTGCAGGGATTTTAGATGCCTTCTGCATTCAGAGTGTAGCACTGTGTAGGATAACTCATCCTACAGTTGTTCTGTCCTGAGCAACAGAAATCACACACACAGGCATGACGAGTGAGTTCTCTCTACAGAACCACAGAATCATTCAGGTTGGAAAACAGTGCATTTGCTGATCAGTGACTGAAATGGTCTTTATGCTGGCAACACCTCTCTACTGACAGCACCATGAAGAACTGTTTCAGAGGGAGACTAACTAACTTATCTATATTTTGTCTTCTCTCACCGCTGGTAAGACTGTCTCCCAGCCTAACTTTCTCTCCCATAACTTCACTTCCTTCCTTACACTTTCTTCACGTCAAAGGGCTTTATTTCGTTTTCCTTCATCTGTGTCACAGGATTTATCCCACGACACAGATCGGGACCACAAGCTCCGCTCAGCTCCTTTTCCCTCCCCGCGGCTGCCCCGTGCTTTTCAGCGTCTGCCTTGGAGACAGCACCACCTCTAGGACAGCAGAAAACAGCACAGCTTGCTTTACCAAACGCCGCATTTTGTACCGTAAAAACATCTTCAGACTAAGCAAGAACATCTTGGGAAGAACAAGACATTAGGCTGGGGTTAGTCCATGGGAAAAATAGAGGAAGATCAACCCAGTCCTGCTGTTTGTAACGTTATTTTAAAAGAACGTGAATCCTACACATAATTATTTTAGGCAATTATAATACTTCCAAAATATTTTGTTCTTTTTAGCACAGGAAACTCTGAAAATATTTTTTTTCCAGTTCTGCAAAGCAAATCTATCATGCCATAACTGTAAAAACCATACAGCAACAATCACCTGTTCTCAGTTCAAACTGAAAAGCTTTCCATGCAAATGTTTAACAAGAGCAGGAAATTTTAATCTATTTATAATTTCTCAAAAGAACAATTTAAAGGTCGTTTATTTCTTCTACTTGAAATAATAATGCTGACTGATGTAATTCCTTCCTAGAATTTTTAATGCATTTAGCCATCTTTGAAATCACTAAAATTGTTTGAGTCCTGTAGAGCTCATTATGACTGAAAAAAAACGCCTGAGTTAGTATCTGTTGATGCCAGATGCAAAACCATTGTGAGTATTTGTACTTATCAGTATATTTTCCCTGAAATAGCTTGCACTAACACAAACACCACAAAATACAGATAATGTTCGCAGTGTACTAAAGCCATGAAGCTCAGCTACCTCTGGGAAAAGGAGAGATAGCCCTACACAGCACCTGATACACAAAGTAAGAGCTGATGTTAATACATAAAACTGCAGCTCAATAAGTAGTTAGGTAAAAACCACTACTTGGTCAGAGCACCAGGATTAAGAACCCTGAAGCTTTCTGAAACTCTTTGCAACTTGCAGAGATCTTTGATCTCCTCTGAGAGCCACAATTTCCCACAGAGCACCCGAGCACTCATGTCAGAGCATCTGTTCAACGCTAGCTGAGAGGGATGAGCTGTCAACTCCCATGCTGTAGTTCCTGACACGTGCTGGAGATCAACCAACTCAAGTGCTGGACCCCTTTGTTTTGCCTTCTAAAAAAGTGAGGGGAGCAAAACAAAAGCAACTGTTGCTGCTGCTAAACACAGAGCAGGAGCAGTGGCTTCTGTAGCACCTTATTTCCTCTCAGTAACAGCGTACACCTTCCCACTGTAAATGCAGATGTCAAAACAAGATCAAGGATTACGTCATGGTGGAGCAAGCATGCAAAAAGCAAGCCAGCCACTTATTGGCTCAGTATCTGCCTCTTCAGCGTGAACCAAACGAACAGAAAGGTGTCTGTGGCTAAATGTATTTGCACCTTCTGGGTGTTACAGGAACATGCCGAAGGGAAGTAAAAATGAAAACCGCTGAAAAATAAACCTCACGTTAAATGGCTCACATCACACACACACACAGTGCTCCCTGTAAGGCTTTCTCCCACAGGACATTGTCAATTGCACTCCTCTGGTTAAATTCCCTTTGCTAACTGCTCCCAAAAGAACGCACAGCGCTTTTAAACACTTCTAGGTCATCCTCAAATAGTTACTATTTCTACTGGCATGTGTGTCTTATCACTGTTTTCCAAGAAGAGTGGCCTCACTCAACATCAAATGACAGGATCAACCACAGTCTTGTAGGAGGCAGAATGCAAAAATGGCACAGGTGGGAGGAAATACACTCTTACCAAAACCTGCAAAGGAGGAATCTGGACATGAGAGTGCACCCAGAACAGCTCTGCACTGGATTGCTGCATCCACACACAGACTGTGAATGTCTGTGAGGCAGAATACAGGCCTCTAAAAGCATGGAGGAATTGACCTTGCTTGCTCTTCTTTCACTGTCTGCCTGCATACTGCTTATAAATACAACTTGTAAAGGAACAAATATTCAGCTAACTTGTAATCTCTTCAGAACACATTAATTCACAACTGTTGGCCAAAATGCTAATTCTTTCCAATAAACTGCATTTTAAAAGATTTATTTTACTATTCTGCCAGTTATGTATCATTTTATAATTTTATAATTTATAGTACACTGTATATAAATAGTATGGCAAACTTACTTTAATTGAAGTCTCGCTGAAAGGCTTTTTCATTGTGTAAAGATAAAATTTTAAGCTGGATACATTTCATATGCCTTCCATAATTGCCTAACAACAAGATCTACATGGGACAGGTTATTTAACACAACAGACCATTTTGAACTTTTTTGCTCTTAAAAGTTCATTAAACTTTTCATTAAAAAAGTTCATTAAAAAAATCATTAAACTAATGAATTTGTATTCCTACATTCATTAAGAATGTTTGGGTTTTAAAATATTCCTCCCAATACTACTTCTTTCCCTTTTTCCCCCAATATCTGTTTTGTAAATTTTTACAATTCCAAACATCTCCCATCTGTATTTAAGCACCAACATAATGAGGGTCTCTAATTAAACTAATTAAACACTGATGGCAAAGCCCTTATCCTAGTCCAAAGTCGAGTCCTCTTGCTTTCTTGATGCTGAGACAGGAAATATTAGTCTCCATGTGAGCTGAGCAGCTCATCATGCAGTTTTCCATATTTCAACAGCAGAGACAAGCCTTGAAAGAGGCTTCATACATGGCCAAACACAACCAGACAATTCCAAGCAAACAGATTAACTGATGGTTCTCAGTTCAAGGAGATTTGAGAAAAAACATTCTTTTTTCCCCCCCAAGAACAAACTTGCCTATATAACGGGGAACAGAAGAACCTTTCCCCCAGAAATACTTATTTCTAACCCTTTCCTATATGCTACTTTTCATCAGAACTACTCACACAAGAAAATACAGAACCAGTTTGACAGGATATATCAAAACTAATGGGAGCAGGACATACTTTATTAGCTGCAGAACTCCCTTAAGAACTTCCTTCTCTGTGCAGACAATTTAGAGAATAAAGTTTAACCAGCACAGAAGAAATTCTTGTCTGCTTACTATTGCAAAAGGTATGTTCTATCAATGCAAAGAAACCCAAACCACACAGAGATCAGATTTTCAGGGCACTGATCTGATATTCCTCATGTATTCAATGTATTTCAGGAAACAGATATGACACAATGACTGCTTGCAATCACTGGGATGCTGAACTGCACTCTAACTGGAGAACTAGAACGGAAAGACAATTATCTACCAAGGCCTGAAGTTGTTTAGAGCCTGATAAGGTACTTCATCTACGAAACATTCAACCACAGAGTGACTAAAACAAAGCCAGTTTATGAAAAGTGAAATCTAGCTTTGGAAGCACAGAGGGGGGGAAAAAAAGTAACAAGCAACACAACGAATTGTTGATACTTTCAATTCTTACTAAGTTATCCTAAGGCCTTGGGCAGGAAGCTTTTCCAAAGAGTGACATGGAGGTTACAAAGAGACATGGAAGTGCTTTTAAGGTTAGGAACTTCATTCTTCCAAAAATCACGTATCCACTAAGCTTTATTTCAAATTATAAAAGCATGGAAAATAATTTGCTATAAAGAATATATTTCACCTTCTCGAAGCCGGACTGGTTCTGCTGAGTTTTCCCCACTCATTAACACGACAAAGCCTGCAGCTGTTCGGACAGAGGCTTGCCATGTCGACAAGGCAATGGGTGGTTCTTGGCATGGGAAAAGGGCTCTGTTGTTTATTGGTGATCCCATCGTATAAACACACGGCCTAGACAGAAGAAAAAGGGATTGAAGCTGGATTTACAATGAGAAAGACTGAATTAAGTTCTGTATCGAAAATCAAAACTACTGTTGTACTGAGGTGTTTATTTTAACCTCAGCTTTGTAGATTTCAAACCTGTATGATATGAACCAATCAAATTACAATCTAAGTCACTTAAGAAAAGCAAGATTACTACAATAACTTTATATAAACTAGAAAACACTAACTCTAATCTTTCCCCTTCACTGCTTTTGCACGAGTCTTCCAGCCTCATACACAGCTTTCAGCTGAACCCATAAGGCCAAAGAAGGCTTCTGAGTATCCTCTGAAGATGCCATTACAGAGCTTCAAAACTGTGACACCTCCCTGTGGTAATTACAGTAGTGCTTTCATTACCATTATTCCCAGCTCCTGGATTAACAACCTGGAGGCTCACACAAACTCAGCAGTAGATGTAGTTTTTGAGCTTTCCGTAGTCCAAGCCTCAAGAAATCCTGGCATTTTTACACTTATTCTTAGAATAAGGTAATGCTCACCTGTCTTTCAGAATTTCAACCACAAACTGCTCCTCCATTCAAATTATCCCTTCCCTAATGCTAAACTATAGAGAGGGAAAGAACTGGCAGTCACAGATGACAAAGATTCTGAAGATATTTTTGCTCTGTTGTCATAAGTCAGTCTGTGCTTTTGGACCCAGAGCTGTCCTTGGCATGTTACTGTGGTTTAACTAATGCAGGCCAGCTGATCTTCCAGTAAAACAGGGATGGGAACTGCAGTTTAAGTAGACATATTGTTAATGCAGAAAAAGAAAATAATCCAGCTCCCCCTGTCATGTGAATAGAGTAGGACACAGATATCAAGTGAAGCTCAGACAATCTGCAGTGGAGAGAAAGTCAAGACCATTTCTCTGTATAAGTTTTTAGTTCATTTATTTGGAATTGAACTCCTAAAATGGAATCTGTAACCAACTCTGATATGTGCAAAAGAATTGGGTTTCTCCCACAAAAATAAGCAGGGCATAGAAGTGAGTTCACAAGGGAAGGGAGGAGCTTGCTTTTTCACCTCCCAGGAGGATCTGCTTCCTCCTAGGAAGGCTAGCCAAGAGATACTGGACTTACTATTTACCCTAAAACACGTGTGTGTTGGGAGGGATGAAGATGAAAAGATGGTTCCTCATTCATGAAAACTTTACCAAAATACACAGGCTTATAAAAAGAGATCTGAGTAAAGCTGATAGGAGTGAGAGGAAATATTTTACCAATGGACATATTTTACCAATGATTTGCAGGCATTTTGAAGGTTGTTTTGCTGGGTGCCATGAGTACAACCCAGTCTTAAGAGCAACACAGGGGACTTTCATATTCTGCAGAAATTTTAGAGGTAAATTCCACAATGACTGAGAAAACTGGCTGGTAGAACACCGCTACACTAAATGTTGTAAAGCTGTGTCACATACAGTATAAACATTACACAGAACAGATATTACCAAGACCATTAATGCTACCTGGCTCTCAGAGAGCACTTTTTACCTTCAGACCATATTATACCAGTCTGATAAAGAAATAGCTTTGAAAGACAAGTTCTACATATCAAAACTATCAGAACAACAATTATATCAGCTTTTGATTAGATATACTTCAGTTACAGTAGTAATTTCTTTTTACAATACTGGTAATAGTGTAGTGTTATTTTAGGACACCCACTGCAACGGACAACTTGCTTTGATCTGGGTCAGGTAGCACAGTTCCAGCATGTAAAAGGACCAGAAATATAAATCTTATCCTGATATGGATCAGATTCTTCACTTGATCCAGAAAAATTAGGTACATCAAAGAACGACAAGTTTTACACTGCTTTTGTCAATTGATACAATATTTGTCCTTTTTTTTTTTTTCCCTGATTTATCTCTACCCCTGCTAACAAGAAACTTCACAGTTCCTTTCTTCTTTTCTGTTAACCACCCCCTCCATCTCTGGTCTCTCACTTTTATAGGTCTTGTAACATTCAGATCATCTACTTATGTGATATTTAGGCCATCCATAATCTTTGCCAAGATAGGTTGGAATAGATAAGGAAATGGCATACAGCAAAAGAAAGATAAGCAGAGAACTCAGACTGTCTATTTAGTTGGAATTACACTGGAAAAACAAGTGCCTGCAAAACATATCTCCAGTCACTCATCTGGACAACCTTATGGCTAGTAATTCCCAGTGAACAGCCATCCAGGCTACTGGAAAAATTAAGTACTAGTTGTGGCATTGTTTGTTTTTGCTCCAAGAGCAGACTTGGGACTGTCTGTTGCTCAGGAACCTCTCGGAGGAAACTCTGATTCATGCTATCCTAACTCATCAGCAGTCCACATATTCTCATGACATAACAAAACCAGCCCAAACCAGTTCTTGGCAGATCTCTGTCTCCCATACAAGCCTGTCAATTACAATAACAAAAGCTAACAGTAAATATTCAGTTGATGTTCTGTTCTCTGAACAGGAACCTGCAGGCCTTGAGATCCCTGCCATCAAACACCTGAAACACGTTCGAAGGCTCAGCCCTGTCAAACTGCTTTGGTTACTGACTGTTCGAGGCTTTCTGGAGGAAAACACCCAACACAGCAACTCCACCCCTTTCCTGTATTTGAAAAAACACATTCCCCGCTTCTTGAAGAGTTGTCTCCATTAAAGGATGCAAGGTGGCAACCTCTTGCAACTCCAAGGCCACTCCCTGTGAAACCACTGCTGTTTGCAGCGGTTTCTTTCTCTAAATTGCATTGTCATTTCCATGAAGCAAGCAGGATTTACTGGCATCTAAATCACACCAAGGTTTTATTCTGCCTTATCAATTTACGTATCTGCCAGGTGCCAGTGATTGCCGTCGGATTCCAACAGAGCAGGTACTCTTGTTTTCATTTTTCTCTTGGACAAAACACCAGTCAATAATCACCCATGTTTTTTCATGGTCTTCCTTTTAGTTAGGACAACTAATTCAGAGGAACTGATTCAAATTTTATAGAAATATTTGTTTGATGCCATTCACATTATCAGGAATATCAAATCCTTTCATTTCATAGTCAAGGTCTGCCTACACTTTTACAATTATTATTATTTTTTTTATTTTACTTCTGCATTCTATTCATGGTACCATTGGTTGTTGCTTAGGAATCACTTCATATGACATGAGTAATCCCACAAACTTCATACTGCTTCAATAATTACTCAAATATAAATACTCATCACTGGGAACAAAATCACACAAAATAACAGTAGAGAATTCCTCGCAGCTAAGGGCAGTCTCTTGGGATTTGGTCTGTGACTTGCCAGGGTTCTGGAGCATCTTATTCTACCAAACCAAAACTCATCTCCCAAAAGATTTGTTTCAACTGCTTATTTTCTGTGTATTATAATACATCATTGTTTAAAACAAATAAAATTGAAGTCTTGATAAAATTGTGCATAGGTTAAATTTCAAAACATTGTACTAGTGTTAAATTAGAGGAAACACTGGAGTGGTCAACACAATGTTTGTACTTTGTTATTTGCTTTCTTCAGGGTTAGAACCACAGTATAGACTCCTTTGGCAAAGGATTTCACATCTGCCTAAAAAGGTACCATAAGCATAACTTTGAACAATTTAAGGAATTCTCTCATGAGAATATAATGTAATAATACTTTATACATTATAACTGGGCTTTAATTCTAGAAAGGGCAGAAAATATTGACTGCATTTTGTACAATGAGTTTTACCACTGTATTTACAGGCTCATCACATGAAATTTTATTTTTAAAATGTAGCAAGTCTGCTGTGAAAATTCATTTTCTGACAGACAGCAGCTTTTGGAACACCCTACACAAGCCAGAAAATAAATCAACTTGAAACTATTTGCTATTCCCTCCTATAAAGAGCTCCTATTAAAGATTTCTGTACAGTACCATATATTTTCAGAAACACTTGACGTAATGTCAGTTCTTCCTCTTGTTTCAGTTTGTAGTTCATTTGCTACTATCAACGTACTTAACACAAAAGATGAAGGAAATTTCAAAAGTTGATTATGAGAGTAAACCAGAAAGCACTGCCCTTCTAAGCTGACTACAATATTGACAAAGGACTAGCTGTGAATTAAGTCTGTTATTTGTTCTGTACATTGATCTTCATGCTGTACAATCAGCTGGGTAAGCCAGGAAGGAAAAAAATCACAAAGTACGACAGCACAAATAACCTGTCCTTCACACCATCTCTTCCCCTGAATGATCATTCCCTATGCCCTGCACACCCTTACTGACACACACACAAATTATTTATTCCCGCTCAGAGTGAAAAGACACAATCACTTGGACAGGCCTGAGGTCCTCAAGCCCATTGGAGTTTCATGAGCAGAGAGTTTGTCTGTTCTCCTAGAGGACAGCGAAAGGATTCAAACCAAGGATGAAATGAAAACTCTGGATACTCAGATTGCTCAGCCATTACACGATTCTACTACACTCCTGCAGCTATATAAAGGTATTGCACACAAAGCTTTCAGCAAACAGGTACGTACTTGCCGCTCTGATCTGCAGTCCACGAAACAGATCTTCCCTCTGGGTTGGTTTTGTACCGTATCCTTATCGCGTGAGGGAAGTCTGACGGAGTCTGAATCCCTGATTTCCTCACCTCCAAGCTCCAAGGGCCGGTGGCAAACAGAAGCTCTCCACAGCCGGGTGCCTGGCTGCAATCAGTAAAATAGGATAGCTGTTCCTCCCAGCGATTCGCAGGTAGAGTCACAAGTTCATGTACAATTTCATTCCTGACACTTCCCAGCTCCTTTGAAACATCACTTAGCTTGGCACACCTTGTAAATTTTTCAATGCCCGGCACAGCAGCAACATCCACCTCTTCAACCTTCAGCACAGATAAATCACAGCAGTCCAACACCAGCACAAAATCCTCGTTCCCGTGATTCTCTCTGTCGCAGCTGTCCTTTGAACCAGAAATCCCAGAAGCCTGTTCATTGTTGCTATGGTTACCATTTTCATCAGGAGATGGTAACCTGGTTGCCTCTTCACCTTTACCACTGACAGCACAACCATTGTATTCCATTTGGGATGAGCAGGCGCTCACACTTGCCACAGGAACGTGGCAGGGTTCAGATGCCCTCGTTTCACAGCACTGATCAAACTCTGACTGGCAGCATTCTTTGCCAGGACTGCTGGTTTTCTGGTACCGGCTCCCAGTCTCAAAGAATAAAACTATGCTGCCTTCAATAACTTTACTTTTAAAATCCACATCCAAGTCCAACACATAGTGCTTTACAAGCATGTAGCTAGTGTTTGCCATTAAGGGCAGGTCATCCTTCATGGGGTCTAGCTGTGCATCCATGTTCCAGCTTATTGAGCAATGGTTTTACAAAGCCTTAGACAATCTTTACATATGATGACTCCAGAAAGAGAAGAATATTCAGCTTCCCAGTGCCAAAAATAATTCTGAAAAATATTAGAGTATTGAAGTTGTAATTTCTCCACTTCTCACATTCTGAAAAACAAACAAACAAACAAAAAAATCATCTCACAACCATTTCTGAAATGCACTAATTCTAAAAGCTATTTAAAGTCCAGTTGCCTTTATTAGAAAAAGTACAGCCAAAGGGTGATTCCAGCTCCACAGAGTGGCATTGATCTAGGATGGCACCAAGCTAGTTGCTTCAAGATTTGCTGTCAGGAACCACTTGGCTGTAAGAACTCCAGTGAAAACATTTCTAGACAGCTTTTATAAACTGACAGAAACAACCCTTACTATCGTCAACTGCTGTTCACTCTCTTCACTAATCCTTTACAAAAGATACATGGCTATGAAACATCTAACTTTATTTATTACTGCACTGTTTTGAAGTTGTATTTATTTCAAACGTATCAAGAGATAGTGATATATTTCTACTGTGATTTTAAATAATGAGAGTAAGTATAACTTACCTCATATGTTTTAAAGTTTTAGAGCAATAATTTCATATATACAATGGATCTCCACAGATTAATACACTTTCCACATTACAACCACCCTCATACCAGCACTTCTACTAAACAAAAAGAACATGAGCCAATTTACTGGAGTGCATTCCAAGTATTCCTTTGAGACTGCTCATGAAGATTTTTAAAAACTATAAGAAATACTTAAGGTATATAATACACCTTAATAGCTAGAAATTCACTCCAGCACTCCGGATAATAGTGCTTTACAGCATAACAAAAGGTCTTCTCACTGGAAAATATGTAAATACCTATAAAAGCATGAAAATATGAAGATGCATCAACATTTCTTGCAAAACGAAGCAGAAGTTCATCACAGAAGTTAAATGTCATGCATTCTTTGTTTTGCTATGTCCACTGCACAAAAGTCATGCAGTCTTAGCCCACTTAAGTCCTTTCTGTCTACTTTTTAAACCAGAAATAGAAATCAGAGGACAAAGGAGCTGTTAAGACATGCAGTTCTCTCCCTGGCATTTCAGTGACACTTCAGGATAGGCAGCCAAGCCTTTTCTCAGTGCCTAAAGTGAACAGACACTTCCTTGTGACATCATTTCAGTTTCTCAACTCATCATAGACTCCAGTGTCCAAAGTCAATTTTTGTATAACTCTCCAAGTCAGCACAGAGGAGAACTCAGACTCCCACAGGAATTGCTATTTCTTTTGTGGGAATCCAGGACATGCTCTCATCAATCAATCAGTAGGTGAATGACTCAGGACAATAATTATCTATACTGTTCCCTTCACACAAAGCACACAAACACAGCAATCTCCCTTCCTTGATGGCTTTCCAGCAGTAGGAACAGCTCTTAACAGGGTTGTCTTTGAAGACAAGGTGAGAAAAATATTCCTCTCCCTTTTTTATCAATCCTCCTGTACTTTTGCAAACATACCAGGGCAACAAGTTCATATCAGAAGGTTCTCTTTCACTGAAATAGCTCAGTGAATTCAGGCAACATGAGCAATGCATCTATCTGTTTGCAATGCTGTGGACTGCTATCTGGAAAACAAAACCTCATGGCTTCTGGCAGGTCAGCTAATTATTGGTGATAGAGAACAGAAATAAAGTGACTTGGTGGGGGGAAAACCCAACACTGAACTGACATTCAAGAATCCTTGTTTTGAACAAGCACATTTTTAATTTGAAACCTGGATACAATATAATACTGATACATTTTATAAAATGTGAGTACTATAACAACAATAAACATTCATGCTATACTATTCCTAAGTGTTTATGTTCTTGGTTTTGTGCTTTGCATTTGGAAGGCGGGATCAATTTCTTACCTCAAAAGTATTGAGATAATTACACTAACTGACACCAAGTTCTCGGCTACCATGGTAAAAAGCGTCTCTGAGAGGACCGTCAGATTTACATAACATTAATTAACATGGCAGATTAAAAGATGACAAATAGTGCCACGCAAGTAAGCTCTATCCAAATTATGAAACAAGAAAACAAACAATCCGAAACAATTTGAAGAACTATTTTTTAAAAATCTATAAATATAAACTCTCTTCAAAGCTGTTAATATCAAAATATGAAATCCACGAGATCTGAGAGACAATGGAAAACAAAGGCCAATGAGGGTAAAAAACCAGAACGGACATTCATGGACTACACTGGAAGTTTCAGATCAACACTTCTGTTCAGAGGGGATGACACACCTAATCATGTTTACATACAGATCGACAGAAGTGCAGAGAAACACACCGTAGACAATAGCAACTACCACTCCATACACTCTGACACTGAATTTCAAATCAGATGTAACGCTGTGTCTGTGTAATCCCATCTCAAATCACCTCGACTTTGGGTATCCCGGCTTTCAAACCCTCTGCGTAGCCACTCATCTCTCAAGCAGTAAGTGAATTTCAAGGGCTGTTTTCAGGTGTCTCGGCTTCTGAACGCCTGCAAAATGTTTAAATGAAATATTTTTAATGAGTCTACAGAACATTAGAACTGTGGACCAAAGAATCTGATATGCTATTCTATGCTGATGGTATTGGGGACTCACTCATTTTAATGTCTTAGTAATTTTGTACTGGTTTTGATAATATCATACTGATTCCTATTGATATTGAATTAGTAAAAAGCTCTGTCTTCTATGCAAAGCATGCTGCTGTTAAAAATTATAATTTTACTTACATCCTAAAATCTCAGATTGGAAGTTTCATCCTCTAAAGCAAAGTGGTGTCTGAAGCAATGTGACATAGTCCTATTTAGAGCTCTTTCAAGAGGGAAAGAAACTGAACTTATGCACTACACCTTGAAGACAGGATAACCAAGCATGCTTTTAATTTAAATGTTAATTTTACAATAATTTCACCAATTTTGACTTTTTAGAGGTAGGAGTTACATTGTGAAGGTACAGCAAAAAATTTCTGTACTATCTGTCCATGTCTGGAGCTGCCAGAGGTGCTTCCAAAGACTTATTGCTCACTAAAAAAAAAAAAATGTACAGTTACCCTGTATTTACAACAATCAAGTAGAGATACTGTAATACATATTTGTGACAGTCACCTGATTAAGAGCTAGGAAGATGAACTGATGTTTCACTTAGGCCCAAAGCCACGCTACAGAAAAATTAACTTGATGTGAGATGGACAGATGCATTGCCTTGAACAACTCTACTTATTTTATCACTTTCAAATACATGGATAAGTGCTTGTGTTCCAGACACGATGGGCATCCACCCCTCCTTCAGGCTGTGCTTGGCTTATTAAATATTGGCTCTCAACCCCCTGGAAGAATATCTCAGTTTTATTCCAGAAGTCCTGGGGGCATCAGGCCCGCTCTGCCCTGCCCTGGGGTGACCTCACCTTGGGTATTGGGTGCAGTTTGGGGCACCACAACCTAATAAAGATATTAAGGTCTTAGAGAGTGTCCAAAGGAAGGTAACGAAGATGGGGAAGGGCCTTGAGGGGAGGCCGTGTGAGGGCACTGAGGGCACTTGGTGTGCTCAGCTGGAGCAGAGGAGACTGAGGGGAGAGCTCAGTGCTGTCTAAAACGTTCTCGTGAGGGGCAGGCACCAATCTCTGCTCTCTGTGAGCAGTGACAGCACTCAGTGAAATGGCCTGAATCTGAGTCAGGGCAGGCTCAGGCTGGATCTCAGGGAAAGGTTCTTCCCCCAGAAGAACCATGTCATGGGTTTGTTCTGAACAGGCTCCCCAGGGCAGTGGGCACAGCCCCAAGGCTGCCAGAGCTGCAGGAGGGTTTGGACAACGCTCTCAAGCACATGGTGTGACTCTTGGGGCTGCTGTATGGAATGTCAGTTAGACTTTGATGATCCTTGCAGGTCCTTTCCTACTCAGGATATTCTATGATTCTATGATTTTGTTTTAAACAAAAAGAACTGCCTATGCTGACTACACAGAAATGGAAAGTCTTGCCTATATATTAATACCTCATGTATTTTTTGCAGTGATGTCTATTGTGTTGTTACTAAAGTGGTTAAAATACCTCTGTAGTGCTTTCCAGACAACCAAAAGCCATCAGTATGCATTCTGACACATAAATGTCAAAGCATGCTTGCATCACTTGTTTTATATTGTGGCCTAATTGTCTAACATAGTCTTCCAACGGAATATCTATTCATTCTGTTGTTTTTGGCCAGTGTAGTTCCTTTCCCTCTTCCTTACCAGGCTGAGAGAGTGAATTGCAGTCATGGTGTTTATATAATGCAGGAAAAATACTACACCAACTTCTAAAACCCTACCCTTGCTGTACACCTTGAAAGTTCTCTGCCTGAATTCAAACTTTGTATATGCAAACACTGCATCTTTTACTACTGCTTCATAAAGGTGCTGTTCCTAGCGATATTCCTTGGATTTGACATGACAAGTTCTTCACTCTCTTACACATATATCAAGGAACTGTCACCACAGAAAAGATACATTAGTTCTAGCATCTTTTTTTTCCAATATATTGTCTTATGCAATATTCTTTGCTATGTTACGCCCACAATATGAGTATCTGGTTTTCATTTTTGTGAAAGTAAGGCATTTCACCTTTAGAAAAGGTAGTTCACTAACTGGACTCTAAGCACAAAAAATAATTAGAACTTGTAATTCTACGACAACCTTCTGATGATCATTTTACAAATACTGTTTTGTGTCATACTTCTTCAACACACAGAGATGTAGAAAATTACTAGTATACTTTAAAAATAGACCTCACACTCAATGATCCTTCCTCATCAAATATACTTTGTAAGTCATAAAATTATAGGGCAAGCTAATTGTTTATTTATCTGTGTTTTAATATTTTAGAAGACAGATGTTCACAAAAGAATAAACAACCATAACAGCAGATGGTAGCCAACATGAACAGAGTCACTCTTGATCACCTGTGCATAACAGAGTTGCATAAAAGGCACAAAGAACAGGAAACTGGAGAAATGGTCCTTCCTGGAATGACAGTTGTAGAACATTGTTTTTCCACTTAATACAAAAAGTAGCAACCTGAATTAGAACCATAGGTCTCTGAAAGCAAACACCAGCAAAAAGCTTCCAGGCAAAATAAAATATGGTTGCAAAGCAGATGAGACTAAACTTTCCAAAAATGCCTATAGCAAAAACAAAAGTTTTTTTGTGATAAGATATACACAGTAACTCACAGTATTAATTGTTACACTTAAAAGGAAAATGTAATAAAGAGAAAGGGGAAGGGAAGAACTTGGAAACTAATTCCATCCTACTGGGGAAGATGGATGAAAAAAATTCAGGGGCATCTGAACTACCCAGAATGCCCATTTCAAATGGTGAAGAAGAAAATGGTGAACAACTGTTATACAAAGTAGTCTAGTTAAACTTGCAAATGGCCCATTAAAAAACTAGAGTAATCAATTATGATACTTGATACTAAAATTTCATTATTCTAGGAAGCTGATACATTTAACTGCTAACAGCTAATTACCCTAGCCTAACTTCACTCCAACAGTAATAATCCAGATGAGAAAATCAGAAAGCCATATGAACTTGTTGGAAGGTTCGGCAGAGGCATTGCTAAATGGAAGCAAATGAAAGGCTTACAAACTTTTTAAAAAAATAAATAAATAAAAAAGAAGCACCAAAAAAACCTACAAAACCCCTTGAAAAACAGAGCAGATACATGGTTAGTAACAGACTGTTCCACATGGCACTGCCACGTCTTACACGGATGAGAAAGGCACATGCAGAGTGCAACAGTCAAGGCAGTCCTACAGCTTGTCATGCCAAACATAACGCATACACAAACACCTCTTATTTCAGAGCTGTTTCTTTTCATGCACTTCCAAAACCTTAAAAACCAGAAAATAATGAAAGAGAGGGCAGTATGAGAGAAGATCAAGAGAGCTGATCTCCAACCAAACCAACCAGTTACAACTCTGTATTTGACATCTGTCAAGCCCCAGAAAATTCTCCTAAGCAGGGAACTACTTTAAAGTAGTTCCAAACAATTTGAATACATTAACTGCTTAATGCCTTAAAAAACGTACTACTTTTCATTGTGCAAAATCAGAGTCGCACAGACTTATTCAAACACAAATGCTGACACAAGTAGCAGGCAGTAATCCTCAAGACAGTGCCCATTTCCATCTTATTTTTTCTGTTATTCAGACAGTACGTGAACGCATTCCCTGAAATAAAAACCGACTAAAGCAACTCAACAGAAATGTGTGCAAACCCAGTTTCCTAGAAAACCAAGGATGGTCAGATGAGCCTACCAATTTATGCCAAGTCTGTTTGAAGATATTTCTCCCAGCAGCTCTTTCTGCCAGAACCATCCACTTCAAACAACAGCCACCAGAGACAGCTATTTCCACTCACAGTCACTCCAGCACATGAGCCTGGCACATGCACCCAGCCGTGATTTAAGGCGATATCTTCATCTGTAACCAGGGATCTCTGGAGCACGGAGACCAGCTCGTTTATATATGTGCTCACTGTATTCCTCAAAAGGTGTAGAAGAACCTCTGCACCACAGACTTTCCCTACATTCCACTGGCCAGTATCCAGATGATACACATTTAAACAGCAGCTTTTTATACCAGCAAAATAGAGCCATGTTCAGCCTCTCTTCACCTTTGGCTAAGCATTTGCTTCATCTGTACACAAAAGCTAATTCAATTCCTTTCAGCGTGCAGGTGTTAGAATTGCAACCTATAATGCTCCCTACTTAGCATTTAAAGAAATTTAAAAAGAAATTAAAAAAAAAAAGGAGCCTTTTGGATAAACCTTGTCTTTCATAATTGTAAGCAGTTTATAACTAAATCCCTTTAAACTGCTTTCATAGCAGCTTCTCCCAAATCCAAGGTTTAGAAATTTTTCACACAATGTAAGACACTATGATCTTACCAAGAAGTCAGTTTTGAACATCAGCATCAGCAATAACTTTACTCTTTAAATATCAAGTAATAAGTATCCGTTATTTTTGGTAATTACAAACTTTTTTCCCCCCCACACATAACACATAGCTAAGACACCTTAAACCTTTTTAAGGCAAGAACCAGTTCTTCTATAGATGAAAGTAAGGTTTAAACAAGCTAACAGGAACATTTGCTACTACTAAAACAATCCAAAGAGAGCTTGCAGACCTCACTCTGCGTCACAGGAAAACCGCCACATTTTGTGATGAGCTTTGATGTGGAAATTAAGTCAATTATTAATGTTCCTTGATATAACAGTTGGTGCCATTCCAGAAATCTTAAGTATGAAAACTACAGAAATAATGAGCGTAATGGAAGACCTTTACCAACTACAAGTTACAGCAGGAAGTTCATTCTGATGAGCTGAAATTACAACTAAAGATAGAAAACTTCTTCCTTCAAAGAGGGGAAACACCAAAAAAATCGAAGTCCCCTTCTGTCCCCCAAATACTTATTCCTTAAGGAGAACTATAAGATTGAAAGAGAAGCATTAACTTACTATTGGTAAAGAAGCTAAGAAGAGCATCTTGATATTCCCCTTAACTTCTCTTTAGTCCACTGGTAATTATTTGTATTACAGCAGTGACTGAATACCTAAAACAATCAAACAGAGACCAAAACTTCTTTTACAAGTCCCTGCCCACAAATCTACATTACTATGTTTACGAAAAAGATCCCAAACACTTATATAAGGATAGAATTTTCCACTTTTTACTTTATAGAATTATTTCTGTATGGATGTGATTATGACATGTGAATGTGATAACAGAGTATACCTAACCATGCCAGAGCTAGAGCATAGGACTAATGGTCTGTAGCAGTCCCCTCCAGCTTCACCGATTCTGTGGAGATGTTGAACAGCATTAAAGAGGAGCAGAATTATCTGGGATTTTATTTCCACTCAAAATACACAAGGAAGGGGCACGTGCAACTGACCTTCAGGAGACGGACCATGCCTGTCAGATGATATCGGCACATAGGAAGCATCCAAACAAAATCTGTCCAAAAACAGGGCTGGTTTTAGCTCAGTGCAGCAGCCAGTGTATGAATACCACCTACCATGTCCAAGAACTATTTTCTTAAGGCTGAAATAAGGAAAAGACTCTTCTCCTCCCAGTGTTGACAATGGCAAACCACCTCAGCCCTTCAACCTGACCTCTGCAAAACTAAGCATTAAACTGAGTAAAGGACCTAACACACCACTGAGCCGAAATCCTAAGATGAATTATACACCACCATTTATTAAAGTACGAGTTTCACCCACACGTTTCGAGTGTTAAAAAGGCCAATGCGTAGAATAGCTCAATAATCAGCTTTGAGAGGGTCGATGTTTAAAGCTTCTTCAGGAAACCAGAGGCCCAGCAGACGGGCATTGCTTCAAGCTGTGCGACCAAAGGCGGCAGGTGCTTGTGGCTGCACATCCCCGCTGTTCTGCATCCTGACCCCGCACTGCTCCCCACGCTGCGGGGCAGCTCGTAAGGAAAGGCAGTGACGGCTCCTGGTCCCGGAGCGCCTCCCCAGCGCGGGCCTGGCGGAGCTGCGGGGCCGGGAGTGATGCGGGGCCGGGAGTGCTGCGGGGCCGGGAGCAATGCGGGGCCGGGAGCAATGCGGGGCCGGGAGTGCTGCGGGGCCGGGAGCGCTGCGGGGCCGGGAGTGCTGCGGGGCCGGGAGCAATGCGGGACCGGGAGCAATGCGGGGCCGGGAGCGATGCGGGGCCGGGAGCGATGCGGGGCCGGGAGCGATGCGGGACCGGGAGCGATGCGGGACCGGGAGCGATGCGGGGTCGGGAGCGATGCGGGGCCGGGAGCAATGCGGGGCCGGGAGCGATGCGGGGCCGGGAGCGATGCGGGGCCGGGAGCAATGCGGGGTCGGGAGCAATGCGGGGCCGGGAGCGCTGCGGGGTCGGGAGCGATGCGGGGCCGGGACCCCGCTCGGCCGGCACAGCCCGGGCAGGGCACGGAGCCGGGGAGGGGGCGAAGGCAAGGAGGGGGCCCCGCCTGGGGACGAGGGGCAGGCGGTGTCCCTGCCGAGAACCCGAGCGCCGTCCCTCTCCGCGTTACCTGCCCGTGCCCGCCTGCCCGTGCCCGCCGCGGCGCCCGCCGATGAGATCATCGCCCCGCTCCGCCTCTC